CAGAGGCAGGCAGATCTCTGTGAGTTCAAGGCCAGCCTGATCTACACAGCAAGTTCCAGGCCAGCTGGGGCTACAGGGAGGCTCTATCTAAAAAAAAAAAAAAAAAAAAAATCGAAACAGGCCAAACTAGACTAAAAGGCACAAAACATTCTGGGTAATTTTCTTTTCTAAATGTGGGTGTTAACCAGGTGCGGTGGCACGGGTCTTTAATCTCAGCACTCATGAGAAGAGGCAGACAGATCTCTCTGAGTTCCAGGCCAGCCAGGTCTACATAAAAAAAAAAAAAAAAAAAAAAAAAAAATTTTTTTTTGCAATGTTGGCGTTAGTCCCACAGGTGTATTTACTTTGTGAAACGTCATTAAACTTGTCTGTGCATTTAAAAGGCTTTAAAAATTAAAGTACACGCATACAAGAAAGAATGCATGCAACAAAGTACCACTGTGAGAGCAGACATACCTCATTTCCTCTGAGATGGTAGCCGTAGTCAGATAAGAGATTAGAAATCTTTTGCACATTAACAGCATCATTAAATGGAGTGGCATCACCAATTTCACCCTTGTTAGCTGAGACCTTTGGAATAAAAGAAGCTGTTAAGAGTGCTGCTTCAGTTTCCCCTTAAAGTTATGCATCAACAGAGATACACCCAATTAAATTTGTTTCTACAAAGGGAAATATTTTAAAATTAAAACCTGTTATAGAAAGCAGTGACAAATTGAAATTCAATTAATATCTTAGATGTTTATTAACAAAATTTCCCTAAAAAAACCTGAATCATTAAGCCCTCAAATACAAGTCTACCCATGGGCTCACATACACAAGTACTAAGAATTCCAACACCTCTGACACACTCAAGGAAAATGACATCTTAATGCCTTAACATCAAGCCATTCATGCTTTGGCTACCACCATTCTACAGTAACAAGAAAGTTAAAACCAGAAAACCTCCCCTGAAAGATGCATGCACAGGTGATAAATTTAACTATAAGTCATTAGTCACACTAAACTAACCATCCATGAAATACCTATAGAAAAGAAGCAGTTAATATAACCACAATACACACAAAGGCTGTATGTAGTTTATATTTTTTTAATTTTTTTATATTATTTTATGTGTATGAGTGTTTCGCCTGCATGTATATAAGTGCACCATGTACATGCAGTGCCCACAGAGGCCACAAAGGGCATCAGACCCTATGGAAC